CGTGACCAACCCAACCGCAACGTACCCGAAATTCCCAATGGCTAGGATAGTCGTGGTATTGCCGATGGCTAAGATAGTTGTTGAGTGCTCTCTCTCTCTCTCTCTCTCTCTCTCTCTCTCTCCTTCTCTGTCTCTGTCTGTCTGTCTGTCTGTCTGTCTCTCTCTCTCTCTCTCTCTCTCTCTCTCTCTCTCTCTCTCTCTGTCTGTCTCTCTGTCTCTCTCTCTCTCTCTGTCTCACCTTCGCCGCCGGGTGTGCTATTGCTAATTGTGGTTGCTGCTGCTGACCACCGCCTTCGACGGTAGGTTGTTTCCTGGGGGCATTGCCGTAAAAGGTCGGCACGGCCATTGTTCGGATAATCCGAACCTGGTGTAGCTTGTCGCAAGACGTGTGTTGAATAGAGTATCGGCAACTCGGCGAGCTTGCGCCGAGGAGAAAAACTTGTTGTGATTAGTTGCATCCACATACACACACACAAGCAAGCCCCGTTGGACGGAACATACGATTTCCGAGTATTTGGTGCTCCTTTCCTCCCCAAACGCCACACTCATTTCCTTGCCAACAAGGCCGACAAACATGAACTGCTTCCCAGCGAAGCCTACGACCTCTCGCCCCACGTCGGTGATGCCAAGCACATACGATGACATAGACTCTCCGGGTTGCCGGCGGGCGTCGTTGCTTGCCTGCAAGCAATTTACAACGTAAATATGAAGCGCTGCGGCGTTAAACTACATGTTGTTCTTGGGGGGGAGGTCTGTCTTGGTGTTTGGGAAATTTGGACCCCTGCGTTGTTCTCCAACGGGTGTTCTCTCCATGGCTCCATGACTCCTGCAGCATAGCGAGCGGGATCAACGCCGCACTTTCGTACGTACGCCACATGTCTTTGTCTTTGTCTTTGTCTTTGTCTGTGGACCCCCATCGATGCCTTCACGACGACAACACCACCACAGCACTAGTGGTAATGATGGCACACGGGCAACCTTTCGCGTTCGTATGTATGATATGCCACAACATACGGCGAAATGTATCTTCAAAAAAATACTGCTGTATCCGACAAACTGTCCCCACACATCATCCACCTAACTTATACTGCGAGTTGGTAGGTTCTCACCCTTCGGAGTTTTCGACGTCCGTCTTCCTGTCGGTCTCGTTCCTCCACCTCGACGGCGCCGCTGTCTTCTACCGACAAACAGACGTACCCGGCAGAGCATTTGCAGAGATATTGGATTTTTGGGAACAACAGGAGTAGGGGAGAGGAATAGAGAAGGAAGTACCTGCTATATTATTGACTATACATGAAGATACAACGGCAGCCGCCGTGTACATATTTCGAATATACAAGAAGATTTTGGACAAGACGTGCTGCTGTGGGCTGTGTACAAGGATTTTTAAGAATGAGGGAAACCTCACGCACACTCGAGCACAAAGATCACAGAAACAAAAACAACACAACAAGGACACTTCCACGCTCCGAGGCCATGTTTCGTGTACAGCCTCACACCTTGCGGCCACCGCTACGGCGGTGCTGCTCAACTATCCCTTACCTGCTGCAGAGGATCCAGGAGCTGCGCTGCAACCGGAGGCAATGGTGTCACCGCCAGCTTCGCCTTCGCCACCACCAACGTCTACCATCATGTAGTCTTGCACGTAGAGGCTCATGTGAGACCGTCAAGGTACGCAGCGCTGAAGAGGGCGCAGCGTATGTATGCTGCTGCGCCGTTGAGCCGTTGGTGTGTGAGCTGCTGCTAGTGCGCTGGAGGAATTCAAAATGGTTCTGTAAGGGTAGTTCTGGAGGCGTTATTCTCCGCTTGCGCACAGAATTTGTACGCAAGCCCTTGTGTACACACGCGGACTCAGCCCCGTTGAGGGGGCGACGCCGAATACAACAGGGGTACCTTGTACATCCCTGGAATCCATTCTACGTACCACACATGTCACCCGGTATTCCGCTCTACCTCATTCCATGGGAACATCCAGCACCAACCACTTGGCATTGCTACAAGTATATCTATCAGCCATCTCCGCCGCCGCCAACACCACCACCGCCATCCGTCGTGATGCACCCCACACCTTCAAAACCAACTTTGTTGCCATTTCAGAAGGAGGGGTATAGTCATAGTCGTGTATGCCGTAGTCGTTAGACCACCTCGCATCCCTACAAAGCCGGGATGGAGCACGCCGGGTTCTCACATGACCAGGCTCTCACGTCACCAAGCGCGGAGCGCCGTGGGGTATTGCACGAGTCATTTCAGAGGGAGGGCGGCGCTCATACTTATTGACGAAACAATTGATATCGGCCAGCGACGGATGGACCAACCAACCTCGCATATATCCGTGCATCCCGGGGGAATGAACACGAGCGACAGGCGGATCAACCGGGTAAGACCCGGTCGTAACGACGTCCAATGATCGAGCTCGGATTGGTCAAATGCCAAAAACAATAAAGCCTTGGTCTGGGTTTCCAGTAGAACTCACTTTTGGCATTGTTGGAGGGACACTTTCAAGATTCATTATGATGAACAGAACAATTCTCCGATAGCAATCTCGGAGTTTTCGATTTGGGGATTTCCCGACATCGGTATCACACACGGCCTAGCTTCCCCACATATATATGCGCATACAGTAAGCGATGGTGCCCGTTCCCGACCGAAGAATGGAAGGAAGATGATGCTCCAAAATGATGATGACAATCAAACCATGAACCAAGAATCCTATTCCTCGCAGCATCGAGCCAAACACACACACTCTTTACATTTGGACGAGTATTCACTGTTCATTCACACGAGAAAGCGAGAGACAGGAAGAGATAAAGAGGAACACAGCGATCATCATGTACATATACAGAAGAGAGACAGGGAGAAAGGAAAGTGCTACTCATCGAGAACGCCAGAGGGCGCGAGACCATCCAACCAAGTACGAAACAGGCCATTCTTCGTCTTTTCCTTCCTGGGGTTAATAAACAAAGAGCACGAGCGACAAGGAGAACAGGAAAGTATCGAAAAACCCGTTCACTTAGCGAAGGTCATGAACAATATGAACGAGGTAAAGACAAATGTAGTCGTCAGCTCACCGTAGATGTATCTGACGTTGGCGAGCAGCGCCAGCGGTATCGCGTAATGGACGAGGTGGTAGTCTCGCAGCCTGCTAAGGGCCAGGTCATGGGCTCGAGTCGCGACAGAGTGAGGTTTTTCTCGCTGATGAAGTCCTGGTCTCCGTTGGAAGCGACGCACTGAAAGCTCGTTGTTAGTAAACTTGATCGACTTCATAAGTCGCGAGGGAAGGAATTGCTGTACCCTTCTCGCGATAAAAATATCTCAGGCAGGGACCGCAGGAGGGGGTTCCAACCCCCCCCTCCAATGTAACCCCGGTTGGGTCGTCTAGCTGGTAGAAGTGGAGGATAGGGGCCGAAGGGGCAGATGACAGAGTCCAATGATGAGAGGCAAAAATGTAAAAATAAGTACAGCACCTATCACAGGGAGGGTTGGGCCGCTTCAAAAAGCTTTACATCGTAGTGTTGTAGGAGTTCTCGCCAGGGCTCGAACTTCATGATACGATGCTGGGCATGGAGTTCTAGACTACAGCGCGGGAACCATGGCAGTCACTACATACAGCATTATCGCCATCTGCTCCGTTCCTGATAGTTGTTGTTGTTTTCTTCACATTAAACTTGTGTCAGTTGCTAGAATCCCAAGATCTAGCAAAGACTCGGTCCATGGTCAACTAAAATGCTACAGTCATCAAAAGATCTAAAGAACACGTACACTATTTGCAAGAAAAGGGTAGGCAAGCCCGATGAGGTACACCTACAATCCCTGCAGCACGTTTGCGTGCTCACAACTGAAATACAAGCCCACACACTACAATTCGACTTCAGCAGCAGCATCACCCCCCTTGTCCCGCATTTAACCAAAATGAATATTTGTCGACTACAGCGTACTGCTGTCTGTACAATAATAACACCATGGTAAAAGCATGGTACAAAAGCTCGGGGCATGCAGCTGCTGTCTGAAGTGCTGTCAAAATGAGTCCGTGGACATATAATGAACAATAACACCCAACCAAGCCATCATTGCAATTGACAATCACCCGAACCTATCCAGATCATCTGTGTTAGACAGCAGTGTAAACATCGACACTGACTAGGAATCGTTCCACATTGAAGGGGTCTTCCACGATGCAGGTACACAATACTTTGGTTGGACAGGACGGACAACGCCTACAGAGACGGTTCCAGACTGGGCCCAGCTGTGACTTGAAATACAACAGACTTGGGAACACGGTGCAGAAGGTCTGCTGGATGCATGACGAAGGCGTCCAACGTAGCCACACACAATGTTACTACAATGCACCCAGCTGCATACTGTGACCAACTTTAGAAGTTGCAAATCACCGACCAGAGATATTGAAACCCTTCATATGAAGTCAACACCTGACAAAGGAGCCCCCAATGACCAGGCTGGCTTCAGGTTGGCATGCCATGGGCAGCCTGGTCATGGCAAAGTGGGTTATGTCCGTTGGATAGCTTCTACGACAGTGTGCGAACGTGCGGTAGCCAACAGACATACGGCACATTGCCACGCGGCAAGGACGGCAGGCACACGTCATACCTGTGTGTTCAGCGTTGAAAGCGTGATGAGCAAAAATGAAGCTGCCGTCATTTCATGACTGATCTGATGGGTGCATGTGCCAAGCCGTATGTAATTCCCATGGTGTTGCAGCGCCAGACAAAATCATGTACGTCTAGGTACGTACGCCAAATTGCGCCTGCTTTTTTCTTGCTGTACCCAACTAAACCAGATGATCAACGAAGGAAGAGTGAGCGCCATTGTTCGTGTGTATGTGGTTGTCACCGAAACGCCTTCACTCTGATGAATATGCACAAGGTTCATTTTCACGGGGTAGGCTAGTCTAGTGTTTTGTCTCCCGGAAGAGACACAACAGGGCATGGTCATTGACGTCACGGGTTGCAATGCCAGGTGGGTGCGAGAGTCGGTTGCGAAAGTCACTGCGCTGGTGGCGCTTCCTGGCGCATTCCCTGCACTTGTGCAACGTGTCCTGTGATGACATGGTAGTATTCAGGAGGAACGATGTTGCAATCGATCAACGTTCTTCACCCATCACTGATGGTGAAATCATGCATGGTGGAACCTGGCGTGGATCGCATCGCGGGCGGTTAGCTTTGAGCCCGCCAAAGATCTCCGAGCGTACTTTTGGGGCTCATGAGCCGGTTGGGTGCTGGAGGCGGAAGCCCGGCACCTCGACAAGTCGCAACGAAGTCAGGAAGCACGGCTGGAGAAAGAGACATGCACACACACACCCAAGCAGAAGATGCAGGCAACGGAAAAAAGGTCATCATACTTTGCTGCAACACACACACACCTTGGTCTCAGCGCAGATGATGTTGCCCATGAGGGCAACGGAGCCGCGAACGACTGTCCTGTCCATTACAAGATCGTCGCAGCTGTGGATGTAGGTGGCGACTTCCGCCGTTGGCTCCCCCCCGTCTTGGCCAGGGGTGTCAGCGGCGGCTGAGGTGATGAGCACAACTAGCACGACCAGCAGCCGAAGAAGGTTCTTCGCCACCGTGACGAGGCCCGGAGGGTGGCAGCCTCGCCGAGGAGAAGGGATGGCAGTGGTCATCATCGTACCGTGTTGTCGGTGTTCTGGTTGCTTCCATCATTATTCTTGCTTTTTGTGGAGAGCAAATGAGAGGAGAGGAGTGAGAGAGGCAAGGCAGTTTGTTTTTTTGTTTGTTTTTCTCCCATCATTGGACTCTGTCGTCTGCCCCTCTGGCCCCTATCCTCCACTTCTACTAGCTAGACGACCCAACCGGGGTCACATAGGAGGGGGGGTTGGACCCCCTCCTGCGGTTCATGCCTGAGGTATTTTTATCGCGAGAAGGGTACAGCAATCCCTTCCCTCGCGACTTACGAAGTCGATTATGGCTTACTAACAAAGGAGCTTTGCAGCGCATCGCTTTCATCCGAGACCAGGATTTATTTAGTGAGAACAAAACTCTCTCCGTCGGGACTCGAACCCATGACAGTGTGCAGGGGTGGATCTACGGGCAACAGCATCGGAGGAACGGGCTACAGGTGGGTGGGATCCAGAACTTGGAATCGATTTTCAATCTTGCATAAAATAATTTGACCCCTCGAGCAAATTCGGTGTGGTTCCCAGACCCAAATTTACCGGTCGTGCGCACCGGTCGTGCGCCTCCGATAGATGGGGCATGTGCGGCAGATATTAGGGACGGGAAGGCCAAACGAGAATATGTCTCTCCGTGGTAACCTTCGAAGGATTCAGCACCGACGGGTGAAGTAGGCCGCTTCGCATCCACCCGTACACCCGCTAAATTTAGTTTCATGTCGTCGGACAATTTTTTTTTTTTGTTCACGTGCAGTCACTGATATATACGGGTGCGCCTCGTGGAGCCTGGCAGCGGAGCACTACACCAAGCTGACTGGGACCCACCGCCAGTTCCTGACACGGTGTATCGGCTGGAGCAAGCGGAAGCGCTCAGACCGACCCCTGTCCTACGCCCAGGCCCTCATCCAGGCCGGCTGCGAGGAAACCATCGAGGCCACCGTGCGCAAACGGAGGCTGTGTTTTGCGGGCTTCGTTATGCGCATGGAGGACAACCGCCTCCCCAAGCGCATGCTGCTGGGAGCGATGGCGGGGGGTA